ATCTGATAAGGCAGCAGTGAAGTAGCCTAGTGAAGTAGCCTAGGCTAAAGTCCTCACCTTGAATGCACTGAAATCCCATATGGGCACCAATTCAAATCCCAGCTGCTTCACTTCCCATCCAGCTCCCTGCTTGTGGCCTGAGAAAGCAGCTGAAGAAAGCCCAAAGACTCGAGACCCTGCATCCATGTGGAGACCCAAAAGAAGCTCCTGGCTCCTGGCTTCAGATGGGCTCAGCTCTGGCCATTGGGGATCAGTGGACAGATGATCTGTCTGTCTCTCCTCCTCTCTATAAATCTTACTTTTCAATAAAAATAAGTAAATCTTAAAAAAAAAAAAAGCCTGATACAATAAAGAGTAAGTAACAACACTGAATCAGGAATAAAACCTGCAAGCAAAAGGTCAACAGCAGATGTCTTCACTACCAAATTCTATCAAATTCACACCAAAGATTCTAGAACTAGCTGAAACATCCTACAGCAAGAACCAGAATGGGTTGAAGGCCAGTTAGGAAAGGCCACTGTTCCTGCTAGGACAGGAGGCAAACTGGCACATGGACCCACTGGAATGCACGAAAGCTGGTACTTAGAGGGGTTCTGATGGAGGAGCCCGGACAACTCCTCTGGCAAGACACAGACCCTGCAGGTTAGTGCAAGAAGCATGGAAGGAAACAGCCAAGAGGTTATGGAAAGTGTCCCACTGGCATGCATTTGGCATGGGTCGGGGGCAGACCAGGCTGAATCGGTTCACATCATCCACTGGTAAATCCAAATGCCAGAACAGAGGTGTGGGTCAAGACAAGTTCGGTCGCAACAAAAGCAGTACACAACATGGAATGCCAAGGTGGTATTGCCTGAGCTGGATGTGACCGCAGCACCCAACCAGCACACATTAGAATCAGGAAGGGATGGGGCAGAGCTGGCAGGGGAATAAGAGGTGGTTCTCTAGCTGAACAACTACTCCCACTGGGGAGCATGAGCTGGGAAGGGGGCAGACCAGACCAGGCAGGGCCACAGCACCTGTGCACCTCATGTGGACCAGATCAGGGGAAAACCAGAATGGGCTGATTATTCCTACTGGTACAATCTATAATTAGAGTGGGTGAGGGTTGTTGGGGCTTAGCCACAACATCAGCTGGCAGAAACTGGCACTGGGGGCTAGTTATGTTGAGTTGAACCACAGAATCACCTGGAGAGGGCATAATCGGGGAGTGGGAGTGACCTGGGAGGGAAATAGTGGGCTCCTCCCTCTTGGATTATCACCACCCACGGGAGGGCACAAGAACTAGGACGGGGGCTGGGGTGGCTAGATAGACACCCAACAACATCTGTGAAGGCTGGATAGATGAGATGATTAGATGGAATTAGGTTACAATACTTGTTGACATGTATGAGAGCAGAAAATGTGGGACAGACTGGACTAGTCTGCCATACACACTGGCAAACCAGGGTAGAGGTGGGCCTGGTTGGGGTTATTGTGGGTTGCTTCAACTAGGCTGCAGCTCCCACTGGTTTATGTGAGGGCCGAGTATGTGCAGGGCAGAACCAGGCTGGGCTGTAACACCCATTGGTTCCAGTAGAAGACAGGGATGGAGACAGAACCAACCCAGCAAATGCAACCACCAACTGATTAGGGCGATGGACTGTGCCGGCTACTGTGCTTGCTAGAACACGCAAGAATCTGGATTGGCAATACCTCAAAATTTCTTTGGGGAGCTCCCAAATTGAACTGCTGGACTCAGAACCCTAACCAAGAAAAGACAGAACAAGTCAAACAACAACCTCAATTATTTGTCGGCAGCAAAATACTGGGCAAATGGAGACTCTATGAGGGGCTGTGTCAATCAGTGGATCCTTCAACGACCTCATCGTGCTTAGAGTGGTGAGATTGGTAGCAATTCATGAATGGTGAACTATCGAAACCACTTGAGCAAGTATCTCAGAGCATACCCCACATCCGGGTCTTGGGGTGGGTGGGAAACTGGGTGGGGCTTCTCCCTCAATGTCCCTCTTTACCTCAAATACAGGAAGGAAACAATGTGAAAACAATAGTGTTATCCACTTCCCTATAGCCCTTAAACTTTTTTACCCCAATTAACTAAGTAAAGATTGTCAAAATATATAAAATAAAATATGTATAAAATATATATTTTGACAATCTTTACTTAGTTAATTGGGGTAAATATATATAAACTATGAAAGGAAAAAAGTTCCAAATTTATACTGCACCCAACAATACTTAGATTCCAAAACTAGACTCAATCAGCTGTTGGGAGATTTAAAATTCAATTTTAAATTGAAAGACACAATGAAATTACTTCTTAATGCTTCTTCTGAAATAACTTTTCATATCTTAGAATAGCTAAAAAAAAATTGTAAAGTATGCCTGATAAAAATAGAGGTAAAATTATCAACATAATATACATAAAAAGAATCCAACAACACACCAATAAACTCACATATAATAATTAAGGTGCATCTAACTTCAGGATGTAGAAAATGGGCCAATAAATGAAAATCAACAAGCCAAATATTTCACATAAGCAGGATGGAAGATAAGCATCATTGAAATAATCTTTTAGAAAACTTTCAATAAAATTCAGTATTTTGTAATACATATATGTAAGTTGTGCAAATCTACAAATATTTATAGATATACCCCAATATACCACAACTGAGGTATAAGTATACCTCAGTAAAGTATCTACAGATGACAAACCTATAGCCATCATGCAACTGAATGCCAAAAATTCAAAAGCTCTAAAATATGCAACAAAATAAGAATGCCAACATTTTACTGTTATGCATTTTAATATTTTCCCAAACGAGGTAGGCAAGGGAAGGAAATCAAAGGCACAGAAGCAGAAATGCAGATACTCAATCCTTTTTGTTTTTTAGGTATTGTTTCTCCTGAATGTATTAGTAGTGAAACCTAATGGCTGCTAAGACGGCATTCAGCCATTAAAAAGAATAAAATATTACTATTTGCTGAAAAATAGATGCAACTGGATGTAATAGGGCTCAGCGTGGTAGCCTAGGGTCTGAAGTCCTAACCTTGCATGCACCAGGATCCCACTTAGGTATCGGCTCGTGTCCCAGCTGTCCCACTTCTCATCGAGCTACTTGCCTGTGTGCTCAGAAAGCAGTTGAGGATAGCCCACAGCCTTGGGATGCTGCACCCACCTGGGAGAATCAGAAGTTCCTCGCTGCTGGCTTTGGATCAGCGCAGCCTGGCACTTGTAGCCACTTGGAGACTGAAGTAGCAGATGAAAGATCTTCCTCTCCTTCTCTCTGTAAATTCGACTTTTCAATAAAAATAAGTAAATCTTTTAAAAAAATGAAACTGAATATTACAAAATGAAATAAGGCAAATGCAGAAATGAATCTAGCATGTTAGCGAACATACAAACATGAAAAATAATGGGTGCAAAATTATGATGTGATTATTACAGGTGAAGAATGAGGACTGGGGATAGGAAGGAGATGGAACTGGTAGCAAAAGAACATGTGACAGAAGGAACAAGATCCAGTGATCCATCACAGTGTGTGGCGGTTACAGTTCACAATCTGACAAACTTCAGAAAATGGAATGAAAGGCCTGGTACACCGTAACAGTAAAGATGAATGGAAAGCATGGCTACCCGGCTTACTCGGCTCATGCTGCATATATATTCAAATACTGCACTGTACCTTATGGTAGCATTCATTAACATGCTGATCAAAATTTACTAGAATTTTCAAAAAATCAGAAATCACCCCTTCACACACTATCTAAACGAAATTTGACAGTTCCCATCTACAGAGTATAAAATACGGTTAGTGCTCTTCTAAGTCTTTATTACTTTTTTTCTTTTTCTTTATATTTAGTTCCATATCCCATTCAAGGCAATGATTTTAGCCACTAGACTATCACTCCAGCCCCTTTTTAATTTTTCAAAAACAATTTATTTATTTGCTTAAATGTAAGCATTAGAGTAAGAATCAAAGCCAGATTGAGAGAGCTTCCCTCGATTTATTCACTCCCCATGTGGCCACAATAGGCAGCAACATGCAGGCCCAAACCAGGAGCCTGGAACTCCATTCAGCTCCTCCACAGGGGTGCAGGTGTCCAAGGAATCGGGACATTTTCTGCTGTCTTTCAAGTACATTAGCAGGGAACCAGATCAGAAAATGAACATAAGACTATAGCCAGTCCATTCCACTACATGGCATGCTGGCAATGTAACATGCTACCTCACATCTGTTACAAACTCTTCTAATCAAAAATCAGGGTTGCTTTTCTCATTGAACCTCTTGCTCACCCCATACATGATTTACAAAGGTGTTACCTGGCATTTTGTAAGTGTCACTGTTGAAAAACTAACCTTGAACTTAGGTGGAGAGATAGTTACATTCTTTAGTTATAATGTATCTATTCACTTGAAAGGAAGAATGACAGAAAAACAGATGTTTCGTTCACTGGTTTATTTCTGAATGGTTTTCACAGCTGTGTCTGTGTCAGACTGACTCCAAGTCCCACAATTCCTCTTGTGTCTCATATATGGGTGGGAGATTTGCAACCCCTTATGCCACCACCAGCTGCTTCTCAGATGCATTAGTAGGAAGCTGGACTGAAAGGGTGGAGCAGGTCCTGGACAGAAGATCTTCCTCTTTGTGTCTCCCCCTCTATGTATCTCTGCCTTTATAATAAAAAAGAAATAAATATTTAAAAGGAAGGAAGGAAGGAAGGAAGGAAGGAAGGAAGGAAGGAAGGAAGGAAGGAAGGAAGGAGTAGCCAGGACTTGAATTAAATGCATTGAAGTGAGATGGATTCACTCCACCATACCCATACCTGTCTTACCCTGTTTTATTCATTTTTATACTGATGTCAAATTACAGGTAAGGTATACAAAATTTAATTAATGTATCTCAGTTAATAAACACACACACACACACACACACACGATGAGTGTTTAGCCCAGCAGTTAAGAAACTTCTAGCTTACATTAGAATACCAGGGTCGCATTCCTAGTTCTGATCTTGATTCCAGCTTCCTACTAAAGCAGACCTAGGGAAGCAGTGATGGCCTCAGGCACTGGGTTTCTGCTACCCATAGGAAGAACCCGCACTGGGTTCTCAGCTCCCAGCCGAAGCCCTGCGACATACTTGGCAGTTGTGGACACTTAGGAAGCAAACCAGTGAATTGGAATTCTAATTTTCTCTCACATTCTTTTAAACAAATAATACAGAAATTAATCAGGCAAAAAGTTCAACATGATTTAGATGTCAGGTCATTCAAAAAGAGTGTTTGACATCAAATGAGGGTACATTCACATTCTCTATTTACATATCATTTAATATATACATCTTTATTCAAAGTGATATCACCAACAATGAACAACATTGTTTCAATTTGCAATAACATTGTTTCAATTTCAATGACAGAAATTATATACAGGATAGGTGAAAAAATTGGGACCATAACATACCTGAACTTCCCAAGGAATAGTACAGTGTTATTTAAAATTGGGTTTAGATTATAGGCAATGAACATTGCAGACTCTACATAAACTATACAAATAAAAATTTAGGAGGCACTCATCCTTTACATCTTAATGACAGAAAATGAAATCTAATAAGATGCTCAAATAAAATGAGGTGTGGGAATCTGGTGGTGTGGTTGAGAAAACACTCCGAAGATCCTCATTCTGCACTGGAATTGCTTTGCTTGTCTCATGACTCCACAACAAACTCCATCTTGCTGCTACCGCACTCCCCGGAAGCAATCAGCGAATTTCACAGGTGAGTCTTTGCGACTGCTCTCATCGACACAGACGGAGTTCCTGGCTCCTATTTTTGACCAGGCCTTGGCACAACTTTGCAAGAATTTAAGGAGTTAACCAGAAAATGACAGATCACTCTGTCTCCAAGACTTTTATAAATAAAATACCTGAATAATATATATTTGTAAAAACTATGAGAAAAAAATAACAATTTGAAGGGAAGAATTGGCATGGATGTTTGGTGCAACTTTTCACACATAATTTTGAGGACCACAGGCTTCTCCCCAGTGATTCTAAATAGAGCAGCATATTATGTAGAGGAAAATCTTATAAAACACAAGTGAGTGCACACCAACTTGCAGTAATCAGTACAAGTTCCTGCTCACAGTATAAGTTAGTGGCAACTATTTGGCAAAGTTATCACACAGAGAATTCAGTTAATACTAGATGAAAAAAATTAAGTCAGACCAACTCCTAAAGAATCACAAAATAAATAAATGTGCATGAAGGAACTGTGAAACTCCAATCCTTCTATCTTATCAATGCTTTATACAGCATCAGAATTTATCATGATTTGTAACGTGAGAATATTGTCCCATATGTAAAACACTTGCTGTGAATCAGCACATAGAAATAAAAAGAAAAATATTGTCATCAGTATAAAAAAAGCCAAGGCCAGCATTGTGGTATAATATGTAAAGCTATCAATTATAACACCACTATCACATATGGAATCAGCTGCTTCATTCCCAACCCAGCTCTCTGTTAATCAGCTGGGAAAGTCAGTGGCAGATCATCCAAGTGCCTGAGCCCCTATAACCCACATGGAACACCTGGAGGAAGCTACAGGTTCCTGGATTCAGCTTGGTCCAGCACTGGTCATTTTGGCCACTGGGGGAGTGAAAATCCAGCCCAACATGAAGTTGGAACTGTCCCTGGACACTCTCCCCTCCTCTCTGCACGATTTGGAAAAATTTGAGTCCTGAAGGCTCAAGGCCAATAATGGAGAGTGAGGCCACCAAGGTCTGGCTACTGGCCCCCCTCCCACCCTGGGGCCTGAGGAGACGCTCTCACACACTCACCACTTCCCAGCAGCTAAGGAGTCGGGCGTCCTTCCCAGGGCGCCTGAGCTGGAGGACGGTCACGGGCAGCAGGGGCTGCAGAGCCTGGGGCCTCTCACGGGCAGAGGACGGTCACGGGCAGCAGGGGCTGCAGAGCCTGGAGCCTCTCACGGGCAGAGGACGGTCACGGGCAGCAGGGGCTGCAGAGCCTGGGGCCTCTCACGGGCAGAGGACGGTCACGGGCAGCAGGGGCTGCAGAGCCTGGGGCCTCTCACGGGCAGAGGACGGTCACGGGCAGCAGGGGCTGCAGAGCCTGGGGCTCTCACGGGCAGAGGACGGTCACGGGCAGCAGGGGCTGCAGAGCCTGGGGCCTCTCACGGGCAGAGGACGGTCACGGGCAGCAGGGGCTGCAGAGCCTGGGGCTCTCACGGGCAGAGGACGGTCACGGGCAGCAGGGGCTGCAGAGCCTGGAGCCTCTCACGAGTAGAGCAGGTCTCGGGGCGGGAGTGGTTGCAATGTCCGGGCCTCTCGCGAGGAGAGTTCGATCAAGGGCAGCAAGGGCTGCACTGTCCCAGGCTTCTCTCTGCCCGGGACCTCTCACGGGCAGAGCAGTCACGGGCAGCAGGGGCTGCAGAGCCTGGGGCCTCTCACGGGCAGAGGACGGTCACGGGCAGCAGAGGATGCACTGGCCCGGGCTTCTCTCTGCCCGGAGCCTCTCAGGAGCAGAGCAGGTCTCGGGGCTGCAGCGGCTGCACTGTCCCGGATTCTCCCACAACAGAACCAGGAAGTCGAGTTTGGCGGCACCAGGAAACAACACCCCGAGTGCTTCTGCAGGGCTTCCCGGGCGCGCGTGATTGGACCGTTCGCAGACGGTCAGAGGAGGCGCAGCCAATCAGAATCACACGGGTGTGAGAGCGGGAGGGGGAGTGAGATTTGCCTCAGCGCTGAAGCTTGAGCCTCCCTGCGGCAGGGGGCGCTGTCGGCTCAGAGAAGTCCGCCTGCCGGCGGCTCTCCTGCCCTGTCTGTCCGCGAACTCCGAAAAGTGTGCCAACCTTCACTGAGCCTGCAGCAGATTCTTTCTCCTTTGTATCAGCCCTTTCCCGTTAGGTCGTTTGACTTTTTTTTGCGGGAAATGCCTGCTAGATATTTGAAATAAAGATGTTCAAATGCAGAGCTCCTGCGTTAGGCACTGCAGGTCCTGGCTAGAGCCCTGCGCCCAGAGCCCCAGGAAGACGCTGTGGCGCCGGGGCGGCCTGGGAGACCCGAGGCCCCAGAGCTGCTGCCTGGGAGACCCGAGGACGCAGTGCTGCTGCCTGGGAGACCCGAGGCCCCAGTGCTGCTGCCTGGGAGACCCGAGGCCCCAGTGCTGCTGCCTGGGAGACATGAGGCCCCAGTGCTCCCAGGGCCGCTCAGGGTCGCTGTGAGAACAGACAGTGCTGGCGCGGACAGGCCAGCGACCACAGGCCGGTGGATTTCCTGTCTCGCTTTGCTGCGGGAAATGCACAGCAAGGGCCGACCCGACAAGCAGAGGTGCACCTCCGCGGGGCGGGCGGGCCTGGGGGGAGGCGGCACCGGGTGATGCTAGGCCGGTGCGGCGGGAGAGGCGGGAGAGGGGGAGAGTGGAAGGGAGAGCCTGGGAGAAGCGCGGGGACAGGGAGGGAGAGTCGGCCAGGGCGGGGAGGCGGCCTCTGACTGGCCCTCCGGGATCGCCCGGCCTGGGAGAGGCGGCGGCTCCGCCCTCGGCCCGTGCTAGGCTGCTTCACTTCCCGCCCGCCTCTGGCCGCCCCTGCAGCTGCACTCATCTCGTCTCTTCCTCCTTCCGCGAGTCCCATCTCTGCCCTCCGCAGGCTGCTGCCCGCTGCCGGGTGAGTCCCTCAGGACTCGGTAGCCCAGGCGAGATTGGAGCCCTGCTGGCCTCAGGGTCCGGCACCTTCATCCGGGCATTGCCCAGTGCCACCGCCATCTTCGGTGTGACGCCCGCGGACGGGCTGGCGGAGGGAGGGGCCGAGATGGCGGCCCCAGGAGGCTGCAGGTTGCTGATGGCTTGGAGGAGGGAAGGGCTGAGATGGCGACCCCAGGAGGCTGCAGGCGCTCTCCGGGCTGCTGAGGGTGGGCTGTGCCCTCCGGACCCCACACCACTTCAGCTTCACTGTGGCGCCAGCCTCTGTGCTGCCCAGCTGGCTTTGTAAAATGCAGGACTGAAGAACATTTGAAAATGCAGTGTATACGTTAATCTTTTCAATCTCATTTATCTTACTAGTGTTAATTTCCTGATCTGTATTTTAATGTTCCATATCTGCTTCGTATTAGTACATAGTAACTTGCATAAGTATCTCATCGTTTTTGGTTTTGGTTTCTGTTGGATTACCTCCATACATAAAAGGATTATTAATATAAATTTATACTTCTTAAAACTTGACCACTATGCATGCAACTTCCTGACTGTTTAATTTCCTGTGTGAGACTGAGAAACTAAAATAAGAGCTAAGTAGTACTGAAGTGTGCTGATACATGAATTAAGAAAATAGTGTGCTAAGCAATAGATAAATAGTACTAGAATGATACTAATAAGGAACAATATTGGGGAGTAGTATTAAGAAATAGTTAAATAAATGAATGGCGATAAAGAAAATCAACTTAGCGGCAAAAATATGCACATATTAGAAGAAAACATTAGGGATAGCATTAAATGAGTAACTAGGAATAAGGTAATTTAAGCACACATGTAAGTGTTAAGAGATAACAATTAATACAGAGTTGGATAAATAATGGTAATTAGAATATAGGAGAAGTGATATTAAAGTGATGCTGATTGATCAATGGCTAAGCTAACCACTAATTCTGGCTGCCATAATGAGAGCTTGCTTCGCTTGCTGTAAGGAGAACCAAGATAAAGCCATGACAGGCCTCTGGCAGGCCTCAGACAGGCTAAGCCTAAGTTTCCGTCCCTAGAATTGAGGCAGCCGATTCCCCAACGTGGGCCACCACACACCCTAAATCAGAGCCAACGAATCAGAGGAGACTTGAAAGGTCCCAAGTCATCAGGTGGTCATGGTGATAGTCTGACCACTGGGGTGGGCATGGATAAGAAAGACTGACCACCAGAGTGGTCACGAGTGATACAAACTGACCAATTACAGTCTTGCCAATGTCTGTTTGTAGAATCAATGGCCCATTCCTAGAATTGCAGCCAAAACCCTGTATGAATTATATGTAGTATATGGTCAGGGTCCTTGTCAAGACTCCACTGTGTTGGATGAGTCTTGAACCTTAGCGCTCTAGCAATAGTTCCTTTGCCTTTGCATTATCTCGTGTAGAACTCTTCTGTTCAAGGCGGTGGGATAAATCCCATCCCAACACCTGCTCATGCATTCACAATAAGAGACAAAGTGAGAAGACATCTTGTCTAGGGTTATATATTGGTAATACTGGTCATTATAGATGCATGGTATCCTATCTTAATTATAAGGAAATTACTATTTTCTATTCTGCTAACAGTTTCCTTCATTAAAAGCTTAATTTTCCTAAAACCTTTTTAACGCTTAATGCTAATGATCTGTAGTGAGGTAGGCAGCTAGTTCAGGGTCACAAACTTGGAAGCCCCCATCACCACCTAGGTGTTCCCTTCTGCCCAGCTGTGATGCTCAGCTCTCACCACCTGGAACCTGAGAGGGAGCAGTATTGCATGGCTGTATAACCACCCCCTCACGAGTCCCTATAAAGGCTCATGATAGGGAGGGGCTCACTCTCTTGGTTGTGTGTCTCATCACTGGCACTCTCCAGTACCTGCTTGCTCTCTGGCTTCCCAAGGACAGACTCTGAGGACAGGTAACACCTAAGCATGGGCCCTGTATGTCTGTAGTCCTCACCCTCTGTTCACTGCTTGGGCAGGACAGTGAAGATGTTAATGCTAAGATGCTTTGTATGTCTAATGCGTGTACTTTTGAGAGTTCCAGGAGAGGTGAGACCTGGCAATAATGGAATGTGGACAGAGAAGCCAGGAAAAGGTGAATATCTGCAGATTTGTAAGTGTGCCCAGATTATTTGTTGTATGTCTCTTAGGATAACATATTGTTGGGGAAGCTGAGATATAGTTGTTCAGCTTAACGGATGGACTTCAGGGTAATGACCATCTGTTCCTCTTGGGGTTACAGTTGACTAGATTGCTGTATCTGACTTTTCAATAAAAATAAATAAATCTTTTTTAAAAAAGAAACTATACTGCTGGCACTTTCAATGCTTTATTTTCTGTCAAGATTGAAAGAATAAAATCAAAATGCTAGAACTGCAGTCAGAACAGGATGAGCTAAGCACCCTGTCCCAAGCTCTGAGGCTGAAGCCTCCAGAAGCCTCTAGGCAGTTAGCTTCATGTCTGACCAAAAGTAAAATCATGAAACTGAAGCCTCCAAGAACCTCTGACAATGCCCATTTGACTACAGCTGACACAACGAACCTGTCTTAGAAAATGCAACTTGGCAAAGGATCTGATCTTGATTTTTTTAAAAGAGAAAAGCCACTTCCTTAAATATAACGTGAAAATATGAAATTAAATTTTAAAGTCTAATTTATTGCACAAATTATAAATTTCAATATTTATAAAGAAAAAAGGTTCCAAAGTTTCAACCAAACATGAGAGTAGGTATCATCCATGCCTTGTAAGGCTTCACTGGTGAGTACAGGTTGTTCTTGGGATCCAACACCACCATCACACAGACAGACATGCACAGTGATGGTTGTGGGCCCAGCCACAGGCTCACCTGCTGGCACTGCTCTGGATCCCCATGGGCACCAAGGCCATTGGGCAGGCTAGGGTAAAGGGTATACCAGAGCCGCTGTCTGCTCTGGCTCATAGGCAGGCTATCATGTGTATGTGTGTGTGTGTGTGTGTGTGTGTGTGTGTTTTCTTCCTCCAGATGTACTGGTGTGTCCCCAGTTGCCCACAGGGAACCCCCTGCCTCTGCTGCCCACAGCTTCCAAATAGCCATGAGAGCCTTTCATGAATAATTTCATGCTGTTATGCCACTTACAATACAGATGCACACAGGGTGGAGGAGATGGCCGGGGATGATGAATGATGGACATTCAGTGAGGCAGTCCCTTTGACAGCAGCTTATCTACAAGGAACTGCAGCCACCGCAAGAGTCAGCAGACGTATGGTGAACCTGGTCTGATGTTTGGTTAACATGATCATCATTCTGGAAGGCATGGACTGAGGTTTGCTATGGGATGTCGGCTAGACAGTGGTTAATTTGGCCATCAGAGAAGTCGATGCTTGTTTACTGAACTGATAAGCACTAGATGTGGTAAAAGGTAGCATGTCTGAATCAATGTTGTTTCCAGAGAGTGACAACATAAATGGTGAAGAGGAGTTGAAGAGAGAAGCCAGGCTTGGACAGAGTCAGGCACCTGTGAGGAGGGTGACCTTGTTTTCAGTTCTGGACCTTGACCCACCTGTGGTAGATGATCACTTCCTTAGTGACTCACGATCATTTCTAAATAGGTAGGGGTGGGATCTCATAAGTGGTCACATGACATGACCAAGAACTGTGGAATTACAAGATAGCTGGGAGGACAGAGGCCTATGGGAATCTGTTGAACAGAGACTCCAGGAAAGAGGGGGCAGAGGGCCTCCTTGTCCAGAGTAACCTTTTCCCCCAGTGACACCTTGGAGGTGCTTTCATGCTTTCCCAATAAGCATCGGTACTCAAGTGAATAGATTAGCCAAGAACAAAACTATACCCCAGATCAGAATACCTTTGTTAACTTCCCTGGAACTTTCTGCCCACATGAGAAATGTAAATGACTAGCCAATAAATTCTTCTGACAAAATTCTGAATTTGAACTATTTCGGTTA